GGGGAGTCGTGTATGGGAAAGCACATCGAAGGGGGAGTCGCAAAATAAAGTCAAATGCATGTATACTTGGTGTTGTTTTAATCTCTTTTATACTGCCAATACCTTTTTATTTGCTCGAAGATATCTATAAATCTATGTTTGGTTATTTCCTTTATAATTTGAAGTTACGAAAAGAGATTTTTTTTTCTGTGGCTTTATCAGTTTAAGAGAAAAATCAGCATTATAGATTACATGAACAATTGGATTACATATTATCGGAGCTCATGTGCTTGGGGACAGGACCTTCCCCCTCAATATGTAATTTCCGTACATGTATATCACAAAAATTCAATCGACGAACTCAGGAACACTAACTTCCGACAATGAAAGTCTCTCCATAAAAGAAAAACAACCCGATTTTTAATTTGGAAAATTTCTTAATAATATCGAACATTTTTCAAAATTATTTTTTTTTATTATTATTGTTGCAGGATAGTAACTGTTATTTGCTAATGTGTAGCTAAAATTTGGTTGTCAAAGTATGTTACCTCCTTTCAACAACCTTTTTTTTCCTTGTCAAAATTCAAAATTTTTCAGGTGAGTTGTATGTAATTTTTGTTTGTTATACTTTTAAATTTTTTTATGTAAATTTATACTAAAAAGAATAACCTTTCTACTGTTTCCTTAAGTCAAATAAATAGCTGTTTGACCGTGGAGCGAGATGTTGGACCATTCGATGAGATATAGTACCGTTTATGTCAAAGTGTGAAACGAAAATTTCATCATGCATATGATTATATCATAATAAACAGTAAATTGTATAACAAAACATTTATCGAATTTGTTCTCTAGATGTGTTTCGTCGACCCCTCGAACAAAACTATTTGCCTTTGGCCTAACCAGTGTCCTGCAAACAGTTTGTTTCTTGGGTCCGACAAAATGCATGTTGCCCTCGATACCTTTCTATGAATGTATAATGCTGGTTGCTTCAGACTTATTCTGGTACAAAAATACACTTCTTCCTCAGAGAACAAAAGAAGTTCTCAAGCAGATTCAAAGGCAAAAATGTTCATGAAACTGCGAAAGGGGGAGGGGTAAAGGGGGTATCATATTCTAAGGAACTGTATATAGCTGGGGCAAGGAAAGGGAGGGTATCATAATAATGAAATGTATACAGAGAAGAAATATTTTCGTATTTTCTCTTTCCAAAGTTTGTGATTAATTATTTTTACATTGACAATTACTTTTTAGCAGAAACAAAAGAAAACAACAGCCAAATCTTCGCCAAACAAGTAATGTGCAATTTCTGACATGTCGAAGCAGTGAGCTCTATCAGTCAACGTGTTTGTATGGAGGAAATTCGAGTTTAAATCGACAACCTTGTTGAAATTAAAAATGTTATTTACTTGCACAATTTACTGTGTTGGTGTTAATTTATACATTTGCTTTATTGATTTAAATATATATTATGGAAGTTTAAACCTTTATTCGAAATTTAGATGTAATGTTCAAACGTTCCTTTGTGTTTTGAGTCTTGGGTAATTAGGAAAGATAACTCTTGAAAAAGGACTTTTTATACCAAATATTTTCTAAATTGGAATTTTCATTTCGTTAAAACATTCTTCATTCAATTTGTCACAAGCAATTCATTGAAATACATTCCTTGTCTCTTCAGAACTCATTTTAAAAATATTCTATGTGCAGATTAAAAAGATAATGACATTTATTGTTTTTTAGAAGAAAACTATTTTTTCTAATAAAATTAATATTATGTATTATGACGTATTTTCATTGTGTGTACTTGTCTAAAGAAGATGTCCATCATTTGACACTGAAAGTTCTGAAAGTCTGGAAATAACTTGAAATAAAACATTTCACCAAAATAAACAGAAAGTTAAAAAATTCTCTAAAAAGTATTTACGATATCAATATCTCCATTTGGATATTTGGCATCTACATGATAAGTGGTGCTGTCATGAAATCTAAAATAAACTGTGGATGTAATGAGCCACCTTAAATTTAACCCCCTTCCCTAAGAAAAAGGCAAGGGGCGCGTGCAGACGTTTCAAAGATCTGCCTTTTACGGATTAAAAAAATCGTTGATATCAAGAAATTTTAAAATTATAAATCGGGTTGTTCTTTTTTTTCAGGAGAGTAAGGGTTCCTGAGTTCGTGGATTGAATTTTAGTGATATACATGTACGAAAATTACATATTGAGTGGGAAGGTCCTGTCCCCAAGCACATGAGCTCCGATGATATGTAATCCAATTGTTCATGTAATCTATAATGCTGATTTTTCTCTAGAACTGATAAAGCCACAGAAAAAAATCTCTTTTCGTAACTTCAAATTATAAAGGAAATAACCAAACATAGATTTATAGATATCTATAAAAGAGATGAAAACAACACCAAGTATGCATTTGACTTTATTTTGCGACTCCCCCTTCGATGTGCTTTCCCATACACGACTCCCCCCTACGTAACCGTTACTGTCTGAGGAGAAAACGTCTTAATTATGAATTTTTATAAAGTCTAGTCAAGTTTAAGTTGTTGCATTTAAAAGATAAACGATTTCTTTTGCTGTTTTAACTGTGAGAAGCCCTACGCAAGCCGCAGATAGTCCAAATCATGCATGTTTTTACCATCCGATCAACGTAAATATGAAAACTGTCAAATAGTTTCGAAGTGTTTGAGAAAACTAGACGTATATGACAGCCGGTCAAATGACCAAAATAAAGCTTAACTATTGCCATCTTCCGTGGGATATTTGTTTTTTGTAAATACATCTTATAAATACCGAAAATAGACGTGACCCACATCTCTTCTGACTCCGAAGCGGTGAAAATCTACTCCCCCATACGTTGAAAACGACTCCCCCATACTTTTTAGCGACTCCCCCGCGTTACCCGTTGTATACGGTGAAGACGGAAGATTTACTTTGACGTACATGTACAGTGAACGCGTGCGTAACTGCATGGATTTTCATAACGTTTTAATTTCGTGAAGCGTCAATTCATAATTAGCTTACACACGGTTAGCGTGTTTCACTGTAATGCTCCAGTGTTTGTAACTGATAATACAGTTCTGTTCGACAATCTAATATCCATGCACATTTATATCAAATGGTTTCCTAATGTATACACAATTAATGTTAAAAAAAAAAAGTAAATCTTTTATTTATGTTATTCATACATTTTCCCAATTTTGATTACAAATCTTTTCCTTGGTAGTTAAAGGACTTGGAAAAAGAATTGTTCAGAGTTATTTCATGAGAATGTGAGATACTTTTCTCAATGATATAGGAGATTTCTTTATTCTCAGTAGCTAAGTTTAGACTGGGGGTTTGCAGTTTTCATTATATTTTCACACGTGGAAAGATAAAGCTACACAATTTTTAGCTCTACTGGTCAGAGACCAGAAGAGCTTATGCGATAGTAATGCGTCCGGCGTCCGTCCGTCTGTCTGTCTGTCTGTCTGTCTGTCCGTCTGTCTGTCCGTCTGTCTGTAAACAATTTTTCAAAACGCTACTCCTCCTACAATTTTAGTCTGATTTCAATATAACTTGGCACACAAGTAGACTACACTAAGATACATAGAATAGTGCATGGGTTTTTAATTTTGATGAACGGTGTTGCCATGGTTACTAAAAATAGAATTTTTTGTGAAATTCCTTTAAAACGCTACTCCTTCCACAGTTTTGGTCTGATTTCAATATAACTTGGCACACAAGTAGACTACACTAAGATACATAGAATAGTGCATCTGTTTTTGATTTCGATGAACGGTGTTGCCATGGTTACTAAAAATAGAATTTTCTGTGAAATTCCTTTAAAACGCTACTTCTTCCACAGTTTTGGTCTGATTTCAATATAACTTGGCACACAAGTAGACTACACTAAGATACATAAAATAGTGCATCGGTTTTTGATTTCGATGAACGGTGTTGCCATGGTTACTAAAAATAGAATTTTCTGTGAAATTCCTTTAAAACGCTACTCCTTCTACAGTTTTGGTCTGATTTCAATATAACTTGGCACACAAGTAGGCTACACTAAGATACATAGAATAGTGCATCGGTTTTTAATTTCGATGAACGGTGTTGCCATGGTTACTATAAATAGAATTTTCTGTGAAATTCCTTAAAAACGCTACTCCTTCTACAGTTCTAGTTTGATTTCAATATAACTTGGCACACAAGTAGACTACACTAAGATACATAGAATAGTGCATCGGTTTTTAATTTCGATGAAGGATGTTGCCATGGTTACTAAAAATAGAATTTTCTGTGAAATTCCTTAAAAACGCTACTTCTTCTACAGTTTTGGTCTGATTTCAATATAACTTGGCACACAAGTAGACTATACTAAGATACATAGAATAGTGCATCGGTTTCTAATTTCGATGAAGGATGTTGCCATGGTTACTAAAAATAGAATTTTCTGTGAAATTCTTTAAAAACGCTATTCCTTCTACAGTTTTGGTCTGATTTCAGTATAACTTGGCACACAAGTAGACTACCCTAAGATACATAGAATAGTGCATCGGTTTCTAATTTCGATGAACGGTGTTGCCATGGTTACTAAAAATAGAATTTTCTGTGAAATTCCTTTAAAACGCTACTCCTTCTACAGTTCTAGTTTGATTTCAAAATAAGTTGGCACACAAGTAGACTACACAAAGATACATAAAATAGTGCAATGGTTTTTGATAAGTACATACCAGTAGAGCTACAGTCTCGACAGAGACTTCTGGTTTTTAAACCAAATTGTTTATTCCTCAAGTAATAATGTTAAACGTTAAAATATCGAACGAAATAAAGAAAGTGCATTTATTTCAGACAATCAAAAACGGATTCAATGGATTGTAAAATTTTTAAAAAAAATCACATTCCTGGATGTGTTACGTTTTGAAAAAAATATATACAGATTCTGAAAGGAGAAAAAAAAAAGGCACTAGACTTGGTATCTCAAAAAGATAAATATTTTAACATTAAATCGTAATATTAGTATACATTTCATATAAATATATCATGTAAGGAGTAAAAAAGATTCTAATTACCAGAGGGCAGGACTTTTTATTAAGACGAAGTACATGTAGTATAGAAGTATAACTATGCAAATTTTTACTTTAAAAAAGTCAAAGGGAGCGACAAAGTAACTTGTTACCCTGAGGCATGTTGAATTACAAAAGCAAGCACTGTATATACTAGTACCAGGGGAACTTAAACTTTATAAAGTACAAAATGTAAAATAATTACAGAAATCTGAAGTTGGATTACTCAATTTACATATCACAAATTAAAAAAATGAATACAAAAAAAAAGAAAAAAAAAAGTTCAATACGTTGTTCATAAGAGAAACTTAAACTAAAGTCAGATTCGCAAACTTACGAAACAGTTTATATTCGCCGATACATGAGGCGGCGGCGCCTCATCATCCTGCAGCACAGCCAGATGACAAGGGCAGGAATCATGAAGACACCGAAGAAAACTCCGAAGACGATGCCAACAATCGCGGCAGTTGTGAGGTGCAGCGCGTTACAGAGTGCATCGAACTCATCGCTGCCGTCCCCGCAGTTGTTATGGGTGTTGCAGATGAGACCGATGGCGATACAGCGACCATTCTCACAGGAAAACTCGTCGGAATAGCAGGGCGCTGTAATGTTAAAAGACGTAACTAAACCATTCATACAGAAGAGGGTAAGGGTATGCTTACACTTTCATTTATTTTTCTCTTTTGTCTGCAGCATAAGAAGTAAATTTTCAAAATCTTCCTCTTATTTTCATGCGAATTTTTCATGTCGTTTCATACTAATAACTAATTAATGAATCAGAAATTCATATAACCGTGATGTCGTTACCTATAACCGTGTATTCGTTATATGAATCATGTAATTAGTAAACGATACATGGATAACAGGAAAACACAATGTGGGTAATTTTTTAATATTCGTTTTGAAAGTACATAATTACGTTTGTTGCAATACAAGCAAGATTCTTTGGCAAACATTGCATATTAGTACCTTTGTGAAATGGAGTAGCAAATGCCTTAAATTGGATTTTCTTCTGCCTTGAGTTTGATTTCAATTCTATTCCCATCTCATGGTGAGCGGTACTATCGGTGGAAAAAATGCTTTGATCCAAATACCGCCCGCATAAAGGCTCCTTGTCTAGAAACAGAAAAAAAGAACTAAATATTTTATTTTAAAAAAAAGATTATTTAGGAAAAAAGGCTAAAGAACAAAAAGATAAGTACATGTAACAACTATCGATTGAAAAATAGTGCAGTGGAGTTACAGTCTTGTATTAAAAAAGGGGAAAAAATATATACCCATAATTAGATAAAAAAAAAACTTACTCAATTTTTTAGCTCCGTCATAAATGTCGATGCTATTATCTAAGCATCTCCCTGCGGTTTTTCGTGACAGTCTTATGGAATCAATGGATAGGACTACCCCTGACTGGACTATTTCTGTATGATCAGTCCTTTTGGTAATGATCGGCCTGATATCCATTCTACAGTCAGTGATGCCTGTAGTTATAGACCCAGGACCAAGCTCCACGATGGTTTCATCAGAGATTTTCACGATTTTTCCACATTCGTGTGTGATATAGACTGAAATTATATATATTTTTTAAATCCATCTTTAATAAATATATGTGGGTTTTTTTTTCAAACTTTGGTGTGAAAACTTACTAAAACATTAAGGATTTAAAAAAAAAAAATCATGCACATTTCTTCCATTTTGCATACATATACATGTAGAATTTATGTAATAAAATGCTAGAATATATTCAGAGAAAATATATCATTTCGTTCAATTTTAATACATCAATAGAAACATTTTAAAGATTTTGATAACTTTTTTTCAGGCTCGTATACGCAGGGTGAAAAATGAGGGAACGGACGACTTCCTCCTCCTAATTTTATGCTTACCCCCATCCTCACCTCCACTATTTGATTTTCGAGTGTGGTGACTATACTTTATTTTTTTTTTTACACCCATCTCAACTTCAAAACCGTTGCTACGAGTCTGTTTCCCCTATTAATCCAATTAGTAAACTAAAAGACTATATGAATACACTTGCAAAGAGAAAATACACGTATTTCTTACGTACTTCTTAATTATTTAACTTTGACTAGAACTCTGATAAGCATTATTTCATTATGTACATATTCACGGAAATTCATTCAATTAATTCCGTATTTCTAATACTTAGGTTGTTTTGTACATACACAGGATACTTGTATTCACGACTGACGTGCATCCAGTATCTATTTGTAGTCGAATTATTTCCGTGAATATTGCGAGTCTGTGTGTAATGATAAATTTTTCAGCTTTGTATGCCCTCTTTTCTTGCAATCGTCACATCAAGTGTTCGGAAACCACAGGTATCAAAATATAGTCGCTAATGAAAAGAAATTCCATATATCAAATGGTATTTTCGTGCCTCTAAGACTGAAGTAAATATTTACAAATATGGTCCGTTCAAGTATCCATACTTTAATTCTAACCTGTTTATGAAAACAAAGAACTGCGAACGATAGTATTGTTCTCCCGCCTACCTCCAAGTCAATTTTCAAAAGTTAACATATTCGATGAATTTTTAATATTTTTTATAGATAATTATATGGATTTTTAAAAAACATTACGTATTTGGGAAAACAAACAGAAATCATTCTAAAATTTTGGTAAAATTTTTCACAATTGAAATCAACGGAAAACGGAAAATATTTTTAAAACATCTCCCCCCCCCCCCCCCCCCCGTGTCACAGTCACAAAAATTCCTTTTTACAGGTTATATGGAATGTTATTTCACAAATTCATACTAAAGCTTTTTGTGTGATACGGGGGGGGGGACATGTTTATTGACAAAATACGATAAAAATACTTATTTTCCAACAATTTCAAAGCGATATACAACTGAAACATTATATTTTATTGAAATATTTATGTTTTGTTTATTTGCCTAAAACATAAGAAAAGATATAAGGAACATTTAATCATATCCAAGACTTTTTCAAAATACGGTGATGCTTGAAACTCCGATTTCAATGGAAAATATCGTCTACCCCCCTTTTCTTAAGAGCTGGAATTATGGATAATTTACTGTTTAGCGCTGGTATTAAGACGATTTTTCAATAACCATTGAACTGTTCTTTGTATTAAACAAAGATTTTATGGCCAAATTGCTAATCATATTGAATTAAATGATTCCAAAAATGTAGGCGGGAATCGAGAGATAGCGTGCGTGTTTCTTTTTTGCATTTCCGATAGTTTATTGAACTTTTTCACACCAATGTATAGGACATTTCAGCGGATATCACATTTCTGAAAACTGTTCTGATTAATATTTTTAAATTTACAATCCTTTCACTTTCAAATCATTTGATTGATAACTGAAAGAAGTTTTTAAAATTTTTATTCTTTTATTTGAATTTCCTTTTAAGGTATACGATCGTTTTTTTCCCATGATATTATAAAAAATAAGTAATATATGTAATTACTTCCATTAAAAATTTAATTCGAAGAAGTATAAAACTTTCTCACCTGTTGGATGCTCCCCACAAACACCACATATCAGTAAAACAGTTGAAACCAAGGCAAAATTTGGAACAGATTTAATTAAAAATTCCGCCATTGTAACTCGTGAAATTGTAGCAAGGGTTCCTAGTCGTGCTTTTACTTATAAACAAAATTTTAATAACAGGATCGCGTGCATATGACATTAAATAGAGGATACATATGGAAAAATGGTGCGCAATTTATTCATGAGATTCCTATCACGTGATTTATTTCTCATTAATATTTATAAGATACCTTATCAACTTGAAGTATTCTATTTCTGTATATCTTTATGTTAAAACATGCAAGACTGTATCGTTTTGTATTTTGTTCAACCTCCGTCATAGTTACATACTAGTTAGAATTTATTGTGATTAACAGCTGACGACTCAGAATACTGTTTTACTATATTATTTAGGTCACTATAATGTAAGAAATTGCCGTTTTCAAATTAAAATGGCGGTAGTAACTCCTCATGGAATGGTAAATCATGTGTATCTTATAAAAATAGACTCTCTTCTGTACCTTTAAATCGGCGGAAGGACTCTGTCAACATGCAATAAACACTTACATTTCATCGTCAAACATGATAAAACTTTAAAACCAATTCTGTACTCCTTCCTTCATTAAAACAATACACTCTCGCTTCGAATTTCAGAACTTGTATATCCTGTAAAAGAAAATAAAAAAAAGAGACAAAGTTGCACATCATTAGTATTTTTTAATGCTATAGTCCTTGGTATATTCTAGATATTTAAAATACTAGTATTCTGTGACTATCTTGGGGATACTTGTTCCTTTTAGACACCTGGTCTAACCTCTGGGATTTTCTTGGTCATTGTTTATGATATTAAAATTCACAGATTGTTAATCCTTTTTACGTTTTAAGATATCCCTTAGATTCAAGAGCTTTACCGTATTTTATGCTTCTAAAAAAAGTTGTTCACGTTTATTTTGTGGACAAACTGTGTTTTCTATTCTTTTATGTGATAGTGTTTGTGAATGCATGCTTAGAATCTTATCTTCAGTGTGTACATGTGACACACAAATATTAAAAATGCCCATTTCTACTTAAGCTTAAACATATAAAACGAAAGTATAAAAAATATGCGTATTGCACTTTAATAATATATTGAAGCATCGCTCACAAAGATTTTGAAAAATATGATTTTGTAAAGAATTGAACACAACATATCTGAAAATTAAAGCGGGCGACTTCCGTGGATACTTTTTTATATACGGAATTAACCCATGAATGATTCATTTTGAGTTTTTTTTTAACTTTCAAATGTACCTACTTATTGACGTCATCTTTTCAGAATGATCCTCTTTCGTGCCCTATATATAATTTAATTTTTATAATTTATTACATTGATACGCTTACCCCTTGTTTAAGTCCATTTCATAATTCACTCTTTGAAAACATGTAATTTTAAGGGTACAACAAAGCATTAACTCTACCTTCTTCTTTCTTCAAAGAATGGATGCAAACCATTCCAGTGGTGTAGCCTAAGAGAGAAATTGTCAAAATGGGAAACATTGACTCAGAGGACATATTAGAGCAACACTGGTTCGAGCGAAAATCCACAATTTCAAAAACCTTATCTAGTTAATTAAGATCATTTAAGAAAAACAAAATTTTAAGGCCAAACATGAAAAAAAATATTCTTATATTCTTTTTTTCGATTGTTAGTGTTTAAACAGATCAACTTCATCACGTTTGATTTTAGAGAAAAATGTTATTTATATATTCACAGAAGTCCTCGTCTGCGTTCATGTTTCGTGTTTGTCAAGATAAAAAGTCACACAGTAACTTTATCATATACGTACATATAATTTTTCTGTTATAACACAAAAGCTACTAAGTTTCAAATCCACAAAAATGAGCTCAATGGGTTTTCGTACTTGATAGATACTCCCTTAAACTGCAGGTTACCAAAAACTGGAATGTTTGAATATTAGGTATATAATTCCTTAAATACATGCGGAATACAAACAATGAAAGAAGACCTGCTATCATTATATGCAGCATCCCTTTTTCAATAATTCTAGAAATTTTTGGTTGACATCACAGTGGACTGCATCATCTAAATAATATTCCATGAAAGTCGGTTAACCATTAAAAATGCATTAGCAAGGTAATAAACACCTACTGCAAAATAATGAATTACTTTTATGAAGAAATATAGGGCAACCAACCTTTTTAATCGCTCATCACTCTAGCAAATCGTTATAAACGTGAAAAATCGAGCTATAACTTTTTTAATGTCCTACATTATTAGAATTTAAATGACGTCACAGCATATTTAACTTCCCTATATATACTGCGACAATCGCTCCTAGCGAAAGAAAATCTGCTCAGAAGGATCACATCGTGTTTGAACCAAGTGGACTGAAAAAAAAACCCAGGGTTGAATTAATAAAAATCTACGGTTTGCGAAAGTTCAACAAAGTATCACTGATTATGTTTGATTGATATTAAGACACATAACAACTTTAAAAGGCATCATTGTGGGGGTAGTTAACAATGTTTTAAAGAAAATTTAACAGTAAAAAAGCATTATTATCAATGGTCACCCTATGTTTCAAAAATGAGTGAAAACGACAGCGTGTAAGAATATCAAAATAATTATTTTAAAAAATCAAAAATTGTACCTATCCTCGTTTGTCTGAAAATCAAACAGATAATGAAACGTGGAATCATTTCTTTAAACCATTAAAACTAATGTAGAATAAGATGCACTTGACAACACAGCAAAGGACTGAGAAGAGCAAAGAATTGCAAGAGCACAAAAACAGTTGTATATGCTATTTTCATAAATATTAGTGGTTATCTTGATCAAATCTTATCATGAAATGTAGTTCTTTTTCTAGCGGAGTCTAGAAAGCAAAATTTTCGCAAAAAATGAAAAGGTTTTTGAGATGAAGGAACCAGAATCAGAAATCCACTACATTTTATTTCTTCATGACAGCGTACAAAGCACTACACCCACAGGCCATGAAGAGTAAAGAAGTTTTGTTGAAAAAAAAGAAAGTTAACGTTTTGTCACACCAACAATATTCGCCAGGTCTTTCAACCTTTGAATTGTTTCATTTTCCAAACTTGAAAAAAAACAAGTACAGGAAATCATAGGATGTGCCATTTAAATGAACTAATTTAAATGAACTAAGGATCGAAAAATGAGTTGATGGCAGATTATTGTGCAATTATTGTGTCACCCCTTCCACATTTTTAATTAATGAGTAATGGTTTTAAGTTATCGGCTACACAGAGGTCACAGGAAGGTAAAAAAAAGTCATTTTCCGATTTTTCTCATTTTTATGCAAATTTTCATTGATTTTACATCAAATTTTGTTTCAGAAAACATAAAACACAATTAAGTTTGCCTATCTATCAAATTTATATATTACATGCACTAGAATTAGATGCATCTTATGAATAAAAATCTAAGATAGGCAAGTGTTTTGTGTTTTTCGATGTGAAAAGTATTTAAAATTTGACAAAATTCCAGAAGAATTAGGAAAATACCCTACATTTGCTCCTCTATGTACACTTTAGATCAAAATTCGTGCTGGTTTTAAGCAAGCATCATTTAAAGCTCTTAAGTACAAAAAAATCACAATTTAAAATGTGTTTTGATTTTTGCATCAAATATTAAGGGCCAGTATCGGCAGTTAGGTATCATTGTCCTTTTAAACAAATCAAATGAAAAAGAACGAATATTGCAACTTCGGACACGCCATACAAATTAAACTACATGTATATAGAGTACTTAATATATATTTGTAAACATCAGAGGCGTAGTCACCAACTTAAAAGTGGGGGGGGGGGGGGCTCAACTCCAGAAATTCTTTGACAAGCAAGAGAGAAATTGAAAGTTCCCCAAACTCGAAAATTCTATTTCGTGGAGGGGGGGGGAGGGGGTAGTGGCCAACTTTTTCAAAGGCAAGTTACTTTCAATTCCAATTTTTTCCCACAATTCTTCGATATAACTATACTTTCCTATAGTAAAGGTAATGTTAGGGAAAAATAGCTGTGATTTTGTTCTTCAATAAAAAGTGGGGGGCACAGACATACTCTTCCCCCCCCCCCGATCTGAAAGTGGGGGGGGTTAGTGCCCCCGCTCTGCCCCCCCCCCCCCGTGACTACGCCTATGAACATATATACACATGTATATATATTAAAAAGGCTAGAAACTTAGAGAGATTACTGTGGGTGCACAACGATATACGGTAGATGTTACATTGACGGATATCACTGGGTCATCCTTTTATCGTGCTATATATAGAAGGCTCAGACCTAGAACCCAGTAAAACTGTCAGATTAAGCTGTAAGTACTAGTTTTTTCTCTTATATTTTGTATCACTTTTTATCAGGCTGTGAAAATTCATTAAACAGTGTCTGTTACGTTGAAAAGGAATTATCCCTCTTTCAGTAATAAAAACATTACTGTACATAAAAGGCAATTATTGATCTTATTCCAGTGTTTGCTTTGAGTAAGAAATGAAGTGCTGGTATATTTTCACATCCTCTATGATTATATCAATAGTTTATGAAGTTTATCATTGTGTTTATGTATGCTTAAAATTGCAATATCAAAGCCTAAAAAATTGAAAAAGAGTATTTAATGAAATGTTGCTACGATATAGATTTCTTACGGAAGCTCATTTGTGTTAAAAATGAAAGCTTGATTAGATCGTCCATCATTTTTTATAGACTAAGTCTACAGCAACTATATTTTGAAATAAGAAGAGATAAATAAAACAAAAGAATATATGATTTTGTATATGCTTTTTCTAGTTTGCTGAAATGGTGTATATTCGGTCAGCAAACGTACATATACAAACAATGATATACACCATACAACATATCAATGGGAGAAAGCAGTTTGTAAAACTTGCGTTGTTTTCTATGTAATGATAGATTCGGTGAAAAAAGGATGTATTTTCATTATTTGATTTTTTTCCTTAGTAGATCCTTATTTTTATTTATCCTACCTGATACTTTCAGTTTGTATATAGGACATGGTTGGCGTGACAGTAATCGGCGCTGGCGTAGTTGGCCTCTCTACCGCCATCAACATACAGCGTCTCCTTCCATCTTATCACGTGACTATTGTAGCAGAACACATAATAGAAGGAACGACTAGTTTTGGAGCTGGCGC